AGATGTGTATAAGAGACGTAAATAAATATGCATAAATGTCTTCTGTGATTGGTTGATTGCCAACATTTTAATGCTTAGTGGTTTGATGGTCGAATACATGCATAACTCTCATAATAATTTCATATTTTGATCAAAGGACTGTATGCATGCACTATGTTGCAAGTGGAGATGTGCGTCCTGTTGTTGAATTGACTTGGATGGAAGAATTTCACTTTGGATATACTAGATTCATAATCAGCAAGGCCAAAATGCCCTAAATCAACTGGATTCCAGCTTCTACCCAAAAATGCCTACTGAATCATCATTTTAGTAACTTGGAACCAATCTATGATGTACACCGATAGTACTTTCATGTACTACATGGGGTGCATTTTCTCTACCCTCTCATATTTAGGAAATCAACTTCAAAACCTGTGTAATATTCACGTTTTTAAAGATGTGCACTCATAGAATTTGTTTTGACAAAATTTGGTCCATGTGCTAGATGGGGTGAAATTGATCGGTTTTGGGGGTTTTTTTTTTAAGGAGTCCAGGGTTCATCTTACATATAATTTACCAACATTAGCTCTCAGACTACAACTCAGCTGCAGTAAAGGCTAAGTATTTTCACATTAGGACAATTTAGTATAATGAAATTACAATGGTCCTATACATAACATAAAATGTCATTGATTTATAAATGGTTCTGTTTATTAATTTCCTTCGACATTTAACCTTTATTGCTATTAATAGTTTATCCTGTGCTCAGGTCATTAGAAGGCAGTGCAAGATTCAAAATTCAATCACTTAATGCTACTTGAGCCATCGAGATAATTATCTGCAATCACAATTTCAAAATAACAATCAAAATTAAATTTCAAATAAAAAACCAATTTTCTTTAAGTAAGTTGAATTAAGTGACCTTAAAAATTAAGAGCTACCTTAATATCAGACGGGGTGATATTACTGGGTTCAAAGGTCAGTCGTCGGCATTGGCATAATATATGGGAAGAACGATGAATGAAGGCAGTAGGTATGAGTAGGCAAAGGAAGAAAGGACACCTACATTATGTATTTCATGTAATTTTGTATTAAATCTGTGCATAAAATACATAGTAAAATTGGGGGGTTAAAATGAATCTCTGCTTGACACCATCGTTAATATCAATTATTCAGTCTCTATTTTACCAAACCTTACTTTACCCCTTACATCAAATGGTATGAACTATCGATTATCTTCAATAGCAGTACTCAGACTGAGATAAAACGACAGATTCATTCTTTCTGGTATCACATCGTACTCAAGGGTCTGAGGTGGAGGTGAAAAAGGACAGTGTACTTTTACAAACACTCCTGAGTAAATTTTCAGCTAATCTGCCAGTGTTAAAGGAAGAATAAGAAAAAGTATGGATGTACCTAGAAATGACACAGGTCTCACAGAACTGGAAAATCCCTTGGTGATGGTCATAGCTCGTTGGGTAATTGGTAGTATTGGTATCATTGCAAACTCATTTGTGATATTTGTGTTCGTCTACAACAAGACTTACAAGAAGTCTCTATCGCTCAAATTACTTCTACATCAAACTGTGATTGATTTTATCGGCTCTCTGACGTTTCTGATCTTCTACAACATGGATGTTCCTGATGGCATTGGTGGAGCCATATTTTGTAAAATTAGATTTCTTTTCTTGTACATGGCAACCGCATCGACATTCAATTTCGTCATGCTTACAATTGAACGATATATTGCTGTCGTACATCCATTACTTTATCGACAGAGGCCCTTGGGTGGGAAAATTACATACATGTCACTCGTTATCCCCCATGTATGTGGAATAATTTTAACGGTATATATTCCTATTTGTGCGGAGAAAAATCTGAATGTGAATGGGTGTGTAACTAATAAGATGAACACTATAGCTGGTACACTACTAATTATCATTGAGTGGTTGGGACTCCCTTCCGTGCTGCTGTACTGTTATGTGCGGATTCTGTTTAAATTATACAAAACACAAAGAGTTGGCCAGCAACCGTCATCTGTATCTCAACCTAAGAACAGTGGAATTTATCAAGTCAAGTCAACTCATCCTGATTGCTTTGGCACATTTCCTTACAATAGCCCCATGCAGAGTTCTTATAATTATTTACTTCATAAACTGCAAATACAATTATACATATTACATATTTTATGAGTTGGGTATTTTGTTTGTGGCGTTAAACCTCACCATGAATCCATTTATCTACTGTATGACATGCAAGGATTTTAAACGTGGAATTCGCAAGATTAGATACGACATAATAAAAATGCGTTCCCCGCCCAGTAATGGTCATGTGACTTAGTGTTTGAAAAGTATAGAAAAAAAAGGAAATGTTTGCATTCGCTTCAACGCTGCGTTTAATCACCCATTGTTTTCTTTTTCGGTTGCACCCCATACTAGGACATCGTCCAATTGGCAAACAACGCTGCTGAGACCTGTAAGCAATTTTTCCATTTCTCGCTGAAAGAATGCATTTGCGCTGGAGATTCTGTAAGACAATCGTTTGTAGATCAATCTCCCTATCGGTGTAATGAACATTGTAAAGTGTCCGCTTTCAAGAACAATTTGATGATAGCCAGAATTTGCATCAAGCTCTGTGAAGAATTTTCCTTGTCCTCGTCCTAGTTTTGCTAACATTTCTTCAACTTTGGGTATCGTGTATTGTTCTTGTTTCAAACTGGCTTACTCAGTTTTGTCAAGTCAATGCAGATTTGAATGTCACCGGAAGTAACATGGGAATAGGCATGGAAAGTGCAAAGCAAATATGTTTTTATAAGCGTCACTCTCAAATAGGCTTCACTCTCGAAATAAGCGCCGCACAGAGTCCTCCAAAAAATTTTGTGAGCGCTGCGGCGCTTATTCGAACATTTACAGTACGCAGTATAATATCTACATAAATTCATTCGCCTGGAAAGGAAATTGAATAAAACCAAAGACATACTACAGTATTGGATTAAAAAAAAAAAAAAGAAATAACTAAGAGGAAATAATATTGTTCTTGCATGACTCCACTTTACTCAATCGGTTGTGGATGGAAAGCTAAAATTTTAAAAAATTATAAAAAAAAGAAAGAAAAAAAAGAAATAGATATAATTAATTGCCCAATAAACCCCTCAGAGAATATTTTTTGGGCGTCTGGAAAACAGAAATTTTGCCGGACCCCCTAGAGCAGTGTTATCTCAATCGGCCTCACTTTCAGACATCTCTGTATCCGCCCCTGTTATTGCCAGATGATTAAAAAGTGATTAACAAGTGAATGATAGTTAATTTACCTCCAAAGACTGATGCAAATGGGTCATTGGCATTTGGAGGTTTACTTGGAGGATCTGAAAAAAAACAAAACAATTATTACTATTATAGAAACCTACAGCAATGATGAGAATTAGACATGTCTGTGAAAATATTACTGAATGCCATATTTAATATTAGGAAAGATCTTTATATCTTAGGATATAAAAAACAAAACATCTAATGAAATACAATTTCAGCATTTTCAGTTTTCTCTTTGTCGATGTCATTTTAAAGTTTCTGTTATCTGCTATAATAAGGGTAAAGAAAGTGTTCTTTATTTAAGGCATATTGTATTAATAAGACTGAATTCACTTCAATGCAATATTTTGATCTTCATTCATTATTATTGTTATTATCATTATTATTACTTTATTATTATTATTTATTTACATTTATACGATTAGTATTTTTATTATTACTATTAATATTATTATTATTATTATTAATATTATTATTATTTTTATTATTATGTCTTTATCATTGTTTCTCTGGTAGGCATCTTGTACAGGGACATGTTCCCTTTTTTGCCTACCACACTCTTTACGTTTGAATGAAATAAAATTATGAATAATATGTATTGCTCAACTCTTTGGGCCAATTACAGTAAGACTACTTTCAAATGTCTGAATGTATGCTACAACAATTCCATTAGGATGTTACTCAGACTACTACGTCACTGTGGTGCTAGCGGTATGTTTGTAAAAAATAACATACCATCGTTCAATGGAAACTTACTATTTTCTATTTTTAGCTTTTACAAACGAATTGTTACTAGTAATAATGTACTCATTTCCACTATTTGTACCAAATGTACTTTGCGATTAGAGGCTATATAATAGGTGGCTTTCTGTATTGTTCACAGACTGTGTTTAATCTCCGATTCCACCTTTTTTTTAAGCTAGTTTGTGTACGTCATGTACTTGTACTGGTATTTATTTTTCTATTTTTTATGGACAATGTCTGAAATAAAAGTGAATGAATGAATAACTAAAAGTAATTTATTACTATAGTCAAGTAAGCTCTTTATGTACTGTTCATAACAAAAAAAAAAAAAAAAAAAAAAGAAGAGACAGTTGTGATATGAATAATATAGATAAAAAGAAATACCTCCAGTATCTGCAAAGGGGTCATTCCCAAAAGCACCTATGAAACAGATAAGATAGAAGATATGATCAACTAAAAAAAGAATTGGGTGAACGACGAAGGGGACACAGAATTACGGGAAGAATCCTTTGAAAATGAGACACAGGTGTCATTTAATTGTGGTCTCGGTCAAATTCCTTTGGCAAACCACCTGCCAACATAGTAATCCCCAGATCCCAGCTTAAAGTCAGGTACCAGAGGAAATGTTTTTTGATATGCTGGAAAAGCGTTTCAAATACTTAAAAACTGGTAGCAAAATAGGCGTAACCATCCATTTTTCCCAACATTTTTCCTGACATTTTTAAATATTGAAAAATCTGTATCTCAACCATTCTCAAGTTTTTCATCAAACACACTTTTCGTGTGTTAGAAAATACCAGTTGTATGCTTTTTCCTATGCAGCCTGAGTTGAGGTCAAGAGGAAGAGGATTATAGCAAAGACAGATGAAGAAGATAAGGGAATATAGAGTTACATGAAATGAAGTATCCCAGAAAATAAACGCATAGACTGCCTTCCTCCTGCAGGGTGGTGAACATTACTAAATGAAAAGTACACATTTCCCGAAATAGCCTAGCCTTCTTCAGGGATATAGTTAAGATGGGCAGAATCATAACTGAGATTTTGCATTATAAAATAAAGGATCCCAAGCTGGCAATAGCTAATAAGAGTTGCATGCATTTAACACACACTCACCAAAATCAGCAAAGGGTTCAGGCTTAGCTGCAATTTTGCTCTGTTCTGTCTCCTGTTGCTTCTTGTTCTCATTTTCCTTCTTCTGTTTTTCCACCTCTTGCGCTTTCCTTATTGCCTCAAGTTTAGAATTCTGTTGCTGTTTCTCCAATTCCTTTCTCCGCCGCTCCTGTTCTTCCTTTGCCTTCATTTCTTGCTCGGCTTTCTTCCTTCTATCTTCATCTTCTATCCTCTTTCTCTCTGCCTGCATTGCCATTTCGCCATCCCTGTATAGATTAAAGACAAATACAATGAACATCACATATCATAAAACCTTTAATAAAAGCCGAATGGGCTTAATCTCGAGAAGCATCTCAAATTGAAGCCCCATAATTTAGTTTGCAAAAGTAGCTTCGAAAAGAGGCCCATCTCAAAAAGAAGACCATGGGCTTCCTTTTGAGATAGCACAGCACATACACTGTACATGAATTTAAAAAAAAAAAGAAAAAAAGTTAAAAACATGCTTGGTTTATACAGTAGTTTATGTGACTTAATGCCAGTTAATACACTCCATGATACAAACTGATGTTACAGAGGCCTTATTTATTGTTTTATAGCAGTAATACCCAAAATTTATAGCATTCATTTTGAAAAGAAGCCCCTCTTTACTTTGCAAAAGTAGCCTTGAAAAGAAGCCCATCCAAAGTTCACAAACAAAGAAGCCCAGGGCTTCTATTCGAGGTTCTATGGTACACCATATATATAATTATCTACTAGTGACCCCTTATGCTACTTTAACCTTTGATGCTCTATAACCAAGTATCATCATAAGGCTTGTGGTACAAAGATGTAATCATGTGCGACCTTTGGCACTGCTCTATATCCAAAACTTGTGTGAAGAGCTGATCATTTGGAACTCAATTCTCTATAACCAAGGTACAGTAAATCCTTCAATAAGCGCCACACCAAGCATGATCTTTTTTCACTAAGCGCCAATCTTGGATAAGCGCCACAGTGCTTATTCTAGTTATTCTAAGATTCGAATCAAGAATAGGCCCTACATTACTCTATGTCTAATAAAAACAGGGTTTTAAATACAATTTATAGTGTTCAAATGAATTAATAACACAATGAGGAAACAAGCATATCTTTGTTTATTTACGATGATGTACAACCTATGACAGGTATAGGTAACATCGGCAGTGGCGGATTTAAGAGGGGGCCCAGCCAGCTCAGGGCCCCCATCCCCCCCACCAAATTTTTCAAAATAAAAAATTAAGAAAAAAGGAAAATTCTACTCGAATTCTGAGTCTAAGAGCGCCATTTTCGGCCATATAGAGGTGTTACAATCATAAATTCCTGGATCCACTACTGATTGAAACGGGTATGGCAAGCGCCACGCCAATATTTTTTTTAAAACTTTTTTGAGGATTAACAGTACTTTGAGATTTGATTGCAAAGCTCCCATCATATGTGCCTCTATAGCACATGATATGTTCCAAAAAAGAAGGAATGTATTCAAGAAATATAAATAGGCTCACCGTTTACGTGTACTTTCAATTTGCTTTGCAGCGTCTAATCTAATATTGTATTTTCTTCGCAAATTCTCTAACTCTGACTGTTCTTTGCTTAAAGTTGCCTGGAGGTCCTAAATTGGAGAAAAAAAAAATTTAAATGTAGATAATTTAACATACATGTTCTACTAAGAAACTATAATAATTATATTTTAAATGATTTCATTTATATTAAGTCAGTCATAGCATTAAAAAAAATTAGAATCAGAAAATATCAAAATTGTCAAATTCTTGCAAAAGATAGTTTCTATATCAGTTACAAAGACTCTTAAATTGGCTGGTAGTAAGGCCAAATAAAAAAAAAATAAAAAATCTGGAACGATATCAATGTAGAATTAAGACTTAGTAATAGTATTTATATATTCAAAAGAAATTTAAAACCATTACTATAAAAACTATAAAGTGTAATGCAAACCTATGTATAGATAATTGTGCTGTATGAATCATATTTAACTTTTCTTTAGAATTTTCAATGACTATTGACTTATTACTTTATTTATAAATTTTATTTTTTGTGATGCATTTGTTAATTTCATTTCATAATCAATGGGCACCTGTTATAAAGCTTGCTTGCTGTGGCGACCCTTTTTCCACTTTATTTAAATTATTCTGATGGGCCTACATTTTTATCAATTATTGTTTTTTTCTTATGTATTTCTCTGTCTATGTATTTGTGTTGATGATGTGGAAATACACTTTATATTGAATTGAATTGAATTGAAAATACAGGATGAAGCTCGGTGGGAATACTAGTTAGGCCTAAGCATGATGCTGCTAAAGTAGCATCAAATACAACACAGATTTGTAAGTTACTGCTACTGTAAATGGATTAAAAAAAATATAATAAAAAATAAATAAATAAACCTTCTTCCCACCTAAACTTTTGTTAAGATGTGATGCTAAACAAGTATTTTTTTTAAATTTGGCCTAATCAATATAAGGCTTATTGAATTGGCAAAACTGAATTGTTTTCATCTGTATCTTTCATTGGGAGATGATAACGAGTAATTCAATGTTTGATTAATTTAATAACCTGAATTAAACAGGGAAGCACTTTATACGGTAGTTAAACATTTATTGACAACACAAGATGACTGTGTACTCAGCGCACTTTACTTTAAGAGGTGTTCTTTGTACTAAACAGATTGTGTTGTCAATAAATGTCAAGTCTTTGTATAACACAAGCTTTTAGTGTACATAGTACACTTTACATGAATAGATGTACTTTGTACTAAAAAAGCTTGCATGATCAATAAATGTTAAGTGGAGTATGCGGATCAACAGGAGCTTAGTGGAATAACGTCTCTACCCCGTGTTGCATAGTTTGATTAGTTTGGGGTACTATATGTAGGTCAATAGGACCTTAGTGGAGTAACGTCCCTAACCCAGGATGCATAGTTCGGTTAGGTGAGGTTATGCAGGTCATTAGGATCTTAGTGGAGTGACCTCCCTACCCCATAATGCATAGTTATTCATATTCTCTGTAGACAGATCTACCACCTTTTATTAGGAAAGCCGGTAGCCCTGAGATTTTTAAAACACTGTTGAAAACATATTTTTTCACTATTGCTTTTAACAAATAATTTACTACTGTACTTCCTGTACTTGTCAATTTTAACAGTTTTAATGTAATATTGAATTGTACATTTTTATCCAATTTAATTGACTTTTAATTTTGTGTAATTTGTATTTTGATCATATTTTTATGGAATTTTAATGGTTTTACTCTAATATTGAATTTTAATCTATTCTAATTGACATTTTTATTCTGTAATGCATCATTTGAAAATATTTTTATGAAATTTGCGCAATATAAGTGAATAAATTATTATTATTATTATTGTTGTTGTTACAGTATTTTCAATTTGTTACTTTTTGCCATTTCTTTTTTTATTGTGCAGATACTGTCCCTTTGATGGCATTTCTAGCATTAACAGAAATTGAATTGATTTGAAGTCTTTAAAACACAAACTTTGATGTACAAACTACACTTCAACTAAAGAATGTACTTTGCACTAAAAAGCTTGCAAAATCAATTAATGTCAAGTCCTCAAAGTGCTACTTAATTTACTTGCTAATTATTGTAACAGACAAGTACAGTTCATAATCCATTTTGAATTTAATGTTTCATTTTAAAGACCAGTAGTTTCCGTTTGTTTACTTAAGTAAAATTACGCTTTCTACAGCTTACTTTTAATGATCTGTTTAAAACATTATACAACAAATTCAGCAAAAACAAAACACTCTTGACAGAGATAGGATTAAACAAAAGCAAACTTAATTGCAGTACAAATTTTCTCTGCAAATGTTCGCCGAGCTAAAACATAGCACGCATTTTAATTGTGTTTACTTAGGTGAAATTACACCTTCTTAAACTTACTTTTAATGATCTGTTAGATACATCTAGAGTACATATTTCAATTTTGTTTACATAAGTGAAATTCCACTTTTAAAAACTTACTATTAATGATCTGTTTGAAACATCTATAAGTACATAGTTAAATTTTGATTACTTTAGGAGAAATTACACTTTCTAATTTACTTACTATTAGTGATCTGTTGGAAACATCTATAGTACGTAAGGATGTCGCTGTGTCCGTTTCCACTTGAGAGAGGGTCTCTTTTAATTTCTCCATTGTTGATTTTTTGTTTTTTAAGCTATGCATAACAGTTTTGTAAGTATCCGCTTAAATATAAAAGAAATATTATATAAAAGACACTGTAAATATGTATAACAACTACATTAAGCTATTTTGTGTTATATCCACTCAATGACCTTTTCCGAGTGTCAATCAAACTTGACTACTGACCAATCAGAACAGTCATTTTGTTGGACCTTAGCAACGATATCCAATAGGTGGGGCTTAGTGAAATGTCCATTTAGTATCGTATCTCTTTTCCACATTCAATGGTACTTAAGAGCTGGTGTTAATGACAATGGTAATGATGATAATATAAATAAATCAAGAATTTATAAAAGCATCTTTTATTACCAAAGAATGCAAGGTGATAAAACATGACAAAAACAAGTGAACAAAAAAACATAAACAAGTAAAAGAGAATGGAAGACAACTAAATATAATTTAACTAAAAGAGAAAAAAACCTTTTAAAGTTATGGAAAGGAAAGGATATTAAAGGGGATGCTATGGTGAAGTTGATAATGTAAAATTGTAAATGCAAAACAGGAAGATGCTGATAGGATGGATTCAAATAATGATGACAAATAAGGATGATTCCAAGATGTTGATAACCTTCTTCCTAATAACAATATTAGCACGACCATACAAACAATGATAAGTTGAAGAGTAAAGGTAAGTTGCTGACTAAACAATCATCTTCACTTGACAATTTTAAGTCACTACTCAAAAAGCACTTTTTTCAATAATCTTTTTTTTTTTTTTTTTTTTTTTGGAACAGTACTACGAGCAACGACTGATGGCAATTGATTGACAATTAATCAATCAAAAATTGATTGATTGATTAATGCTGATACCATGGTGTGGATAACAATCATCATAATAATAATCATAATAATAGCACCACCAATTCAATAATGCGGATGTTGATGAAAAATAATTCTGGTGATTAACCAGGACGCGAGGCAGTATATTAACTTTGTCACATTATGCATACATCATTCTTTTATTAATCCTGTTTGTTTTTTTTAATACATAATCTATTTGGTTTTCCTGTGCATGTTATTTTTGCTATATTTCTCTATTAATATTGTATCTATATATTACTATTTTGTCATTTTATAGATGGCCATGAATATCAGAAATACATAAATAAATAAATAAATACTTACATATTCCACTATCTTTATTTATGAGTTTTGATGAGCTTTGCAACTGCTCTTTCTCCTGATCAGCAAGCATCTTCCGTTTTCTAATATCCTAAAATACAAAACATAAGAATAAGGTTTATAAAATGTATTATTATTATTATTATTATTATTATTGTTTTGTTACCAAGCAACAGCCATTAACTCATAAGGTCAAATCATTTGCATATCCATATACACTTGAGGAAGGATTTTACCTCTTTGTAGCCACTAAATTTTACTTACTTGAATTTCTTGTTGTAGTCGATCAATATCACTGACTTTGACATCTCTGCTCTGTGACATTAGTATGATGGAGGTATGGTGACCGGTTACGCCATTCTTACTCTCCTCAGACAACCTAGTCAATTCATTCTTTTTATCCTCCTGAAAAAATAATATTTTAATAATAACCGTTGATTGAATTTTACAATAACATAATATATCATAATACATATAAACTATACTATATACAAATTCTACAACCTCAGAGGCCGGAGCCCCCTGATCTGACAGGACTAGAGCTGACGTTTCACAAACAACAGAATGTCCAGCTCATTCAGCCTGACGAGATTCTTGTTGACAACAAGACGAAAGCTAGCATAAGTACATCAAAACAATAGTTTACTATGTAAAAATAATTGGATTATCAGTTACAAAACCAGATGAAACTATTTGATCATATATACATAGTTTCACAATTGTATTACTCTCAAAACTCATAAGTGCACAGTAGGCAAAAACATGTCCATGTACAAGATGCCTACCAATACATACAGTAATCCATCCCTCCATCCATCTTCCCACCATCCATCCACCCACCCACCCACCAACCAATAAATGTTAAGCCTGCTCCTTTGTTCACGCCACATAGGTAGGGGTCCGGGATTGCACCAGGGCAGAGGTGGAATGTTGACCCTTTCAGACCTAGCGCTGTTTGCCACCACACATTTTTTTCTCTTTATTTTATACACTTTGTTTTAAAGCCTCTTTATTTGATGCAAAGCACAAGGAGGCCGTCCATGCAATATGCGCTATATAAAGGGCAATTTAATATTTATTATACTTACCTGGATATAAACTGATATTTCTTGCAGGTAAGTTCCAATAAAAAAATTACTTGTATTGTTTCATCCAGGCAAAATATTAAAGAAATAGACTTCTTAATCCATTCATTAATTCACTCAACCATTCATTCATCTATTTGTTCATCCATTATATGGATAAGTAAATGAATGAATGGATTTATAAATTTAAGAATGGATGAATGAACAGTTGCATATACAAGTGACTGATTGAATAAATAAATAGTTTGAATAAATAATTGATTAACTGATGAATGATTGTATAAACAAAGCTACAACATCTTCTCACCAAGGTTCCTAATTCACATTGTAACGTTTTTATCTTCCCCTTTAAATGTCGAACTTCTTCTTGTTCTCGGATCCTAATGGACTCTAGCTCCTGTTTCTTATTTTTAATTAATTCTAGATGTCTCTGCCTTTCCATCTCTCTCCTTGCAGCCTAGGAAAAAAAAAAGGAACAAATAAGTACATGGAATATTAAAATGAATTATATTTAACACATAAATTCAAATTGAATAAAGCCTCTCTTTCTTTATGACAATCTAACAATCTTGGTAACAATAACAGTGAAAGTTATTCTCACCATCATCATTAGGATGCTCCTGAATTTAGTGGAATTCTTAGGAATGTCAACTACATCTTTACAATGCAATCCAAGAAAAGGATGCTCATCTCCGCTTGCGAACATAGCGTGTGCGTACAGTCCTTAGATCTTAACTGTGGCATCAACCATTTGATATTAGTTGCAAGTATAGCTGATAATTAATAGTCTATGCGTGCCATGCAGGTTATGGTATTAGTTTAAGTATTTAATTAATTTTGGGTATTTCGTAATGTGTGTTACATTTGATTTCTCTTGACAATGAGCTTGTTAAGAACTACACTTTGATTCATAAAAATTCATTATGACAATGTTGGACTAAGGTGCAAAAAAAAAAAAACCCGATAATTTTATTAGATTGGAAAATTTAAATTTTTTTCTGCGATGTGAGTCTCATGAACCACTGGATACCACCACATCGGTGAAATTAATGTTGAAATAACGAAGCGTGATTATCATGACAACTGACACACACGTAGGTAATTTGCTATGATTTTTGTGACTATCAGAGCACATTAAACACAGTTATGCGTGTAAGGGCAAGCAAAGTGTAGAATGTCAATGCCAGAGTTATAACCTTTGATGTCCTGAGATGGGCATCAATTTGTTGAATTGAATTATTCAGGATGTCATGTAACAAGAACTCAGTCTACTTTGAAACCACCAACTGATTTTACAAACCTCTCTCTGCTCCATTATTTTACGCCTTTGTTCTTCTTGTTCCGCTTCTATTTCTCTCTGCCTTGCAAGTTGTTTTTCTAATTCCATTTGTCGTCTTCTTTCCTGTTCCATCCGTATTCTCTCTTTTCTTTCTAATTCCTGTTTTTCTAAGTACTCCTGCCTGTCCTGTAAAAAACAATAATAAATAATAACAATAACAAAATATTAATTAAACTTTTATTGTAGCTTTAAATGTTAGCACGGCATAAACAAATGTAAAAACTGTCACATTGTACCAGTTAAGCAAAACATCTGGTATAATATTTATAAACAATAACAGATTACTTCTTAATAATTTAAGATAAGACAAAATAAAATGTATTCAATTTTTCACAAATCTACCTTTCTCAGTACAGTATTTTAGTTTTGATTGCATTTAATTTTTGTTTTATTTTGACCTGTTAATGCAATGTTGATCTCCACATCTTGAAATATTATTTATGCTTAAGGAATATAACATTTTATAATAGGGGTGAAGATTTACAAGAATATAAAGCATAAAAATGTCTATATGATTTGTAAGTGCAAAATAAAAAGTGCTAGATCTATCATAAATTTATCTTTCTCTGTACAGTATTTTGTTTTCTGATCTGTTAATGCGGTGTTGAGCTCTACATCTTGAAATGTTATATGTGAATGAAGGATTATACCATTTTTAATAGGGGTGAAGAATTAGAAAAAAACAAAAGTTTGTGAAAGTACAACAGTGCAAATATCATCCTCTGCAAACAACAGTTCTTCTTGTTCCGCTTCTATTTCTCTCTGCCTTGCAAGTTGTTTTTCTAATTCCATTTGTCGTTATGTTATTTACAACAGTGCAAATAACATCTAAGTATAGCTACTTCTTATGTACCGTATATGCTCGCGTATAAAGCTACCCACGTATAAGTCAACCCCCAAGTTTAAGAATTTGCGTGTTACGAATGATCCGCACAAAAGACGAATATGGTTTAAAAATCTAAAACTTGTATGTCACGCCTATCAGACGAGCCCATGGTTTTAGATCGTAATTTCGCTATTTTAAGCCTTGTCTTATAAGCGAGGAGGATACATTGGGATATTCAACAATGATTAATTTACCCTTTCTTTCTTTTGTTCTTCTTGCAACATTGCTCGTCTCCGTTCCAGCTCCTGTTGACCTCGGTCAAAGTTCATTTTTTTCTTCTCTTCTAGACTAACTGAAAAGACAATCAATCAATCAATTATTCAGGTTTACCGATAATTAGACGTACAGTAGTTCATTTACATTATTAAAAGGAATCACCTAATTAGAGGATGTTTACTGTAAAAAGTAATAAAATAGCATTAACAGAGATAAAGTACAAACCTTGTCAAAGGTAGATTTATAAATACCGGTACCATATTTATTCAAATAAAAAAATCTAACAAAAGCAACATTACTCTGAACACATTCCATTAATGTTTTACACCAGTAGAATTACATTTTTTCTAACCTGGTAAGGATCAATTAGTCTTTATGACCACGCAATAATACATTCTGCCCGGAAATTGTGTATCCCTCGGATAAACACCCCTTTAAAAACCCTTATTATTATTATTATTATTATTATTATTATTATTATAAAACCAAATAAATTCAGTATTTTATAGCAGAGTATATTGGAGTCAAATTCAATACATTTATTCAGTAAACTGGGCCCTTTCTCCAAAATTTAACAAAAATAACACACATTAACATCTTCATACAATGATATGGTGGTGTTTGCTGGTGGAAAAACAGCATAAACATTGACCTTGATGATGATATGATAGATGACAAAAATTAAGATGTAGATTGTAGTCTGCTATAAAGATGATGACAATGATATATATAATGGTATTTATTCAGATAAAAATCATTAAAATATAAGACACGGCAGCCAAAAGACTGAACTGCTAATTACGTTTACATAAAAAATTATTAACAATTTGGGTTTGGGTTTTGGGTGCTTGTGGGAAATTAGAATTGCAACAAATAGCGGGTTTCCCAGAGCTGTTCACATTTATTATAAAATAAGTGGTTTAAAAAGCACATCCAGATAAAACATCCAGATGATCATGTAAACATTTAAATATTTAAACTTACTAATTTTTGGTTTATCATCCATGAGCATGTTGTCAGCTTCTATGCTGCCCTGTTTAACAATAGTTGGCGAAAGTGGAGGTGGAGCACCAACTGCATTGCCTATAGGTGGTAAGCCTCGTCTGTAGGATGGTGGAATGAGTTCTGGCGGTAAAGTTTTGGGAAGGGGCGCCCCTGACTTGGCGACATCAACTAAGTGCATTGCAAGACAAAACTCCTCAGATGTAAGCTTGCCATCGTTATCAATGTCTGACAGCCGCCTATGTGAAAATTAAATTACATAATTTTAAAAATATATAAGATATATTGCAGAATCAAAGCTTTTTTTGTCAGTTGAAATACCTATTTTTGTCAGTTGAAATACCTTTTTATTCTATGTTATATCTCAATTATTTTCAAATTTTAATCTGAATTTTATTTTAAGAAAATATTAAATGATAAGTAAGCTTAAAATTATTTTCCATATTAAATAAAACTGATCATTTTTCCCTTCTAAATTCAAGACACATTTATAACCCGGCCAGCATCGGGTTTTAATTGGAGTCAGATCATTCTCCTCCTCGAAAAACCCTTGCAGTTAGGCAGGAAAAAGGACAATGTATACGTTATATGTCAGTACTGGTGCTGAGCTGCAGCGGGTCCCAGGGGCCTAGCCAAAATTTCCAATTTCAAATATTTGGAATTGGACAAAATAGAAAAATATAACTTTTTTTAATCTCTTAAAAAATATATACTGCAAGACAAAAATAACCAATAGATTGCACTTATGATATAAATTTATTGGTGATCCGCTAACGTTAGCGGATCACCTCTTGTTATTGTCAGAGATCTTACAACTTTTTTTTTTTATTCTACCTTTCCTTCCATTTTTGTTCGCACGATATCTCAAAATTGCCACGAGTTACGCACACGGTCGCTACATCGATCATTTTGCCTTCGCCTGGAATAATCATGGTAAGGTTTTCAACGCGCTCAGTCAAGCGTGAACGTCATCTACGTGCAATTTTGCGTTTTTACATTATCGATTATATCAGCCTAACCAATTGCCATTTCGAAATCGTATTAAGTGAGCATTAACTTCGGGTTAATGTTGAATGTACTGTACCCTAATTTGACTCGTGCGCTTTACTACGCGCGCGCACGCGAGCGTCAAAATTTTGAAATGCTCGAAATCACTTTTTAACTAAATTAGAGGACGGTTTAGGTCAATTTGAGCATTTCAAATTTTTTAAAAATTTCCCACTACACGCGCGCAATTTTACGGGCGCTGCACGTACGAAAGCTGGAAATTACGTTATTTTACATATTTTGGGTTCCTGAAATTGTTTTCACAAATTTGCATTCTTTTCGCTCATCTTTTGGCAAATAGCAAAGCCGTACGTGCGCATCAAACATAGGCATCTTTGCGCGATTTGTACCCCTATACAGTGAAATTATGCTAAAATCAGACCTATTTTTAATCAGTTATAGCTCCTTAGGTTGAAAGGTGACCCCCTATTTTTATTACATATTCTGAAAGCACATAAGTTGTAAATGTGATTTTATAGATGATAATGGCTGATCGGACATTGTGACGTCATCACATTGGCATCTGAATTCAAAGAAAGTGACTTATAGCTAGACGTCATTTTTGAAAATACGCATTTGAGCGTATCTCGCTTATCCTTGGTCGATCGTCTTCCAACTTTGAGTATGTTATAGCTGAGACAATTCTCTTTCATATATTTGACCTCTTTTTACTTTTTGATGACGTCATCATGGTCAAAAAAATTGTTTTTTCTGACCCCCTCATTTCTCTTTCTTCAAAACGTTGATGACCCCATATTAAATCTTAATCATTAGTCATTTTTAAATCATATTAGGTGAGCATAAGCTTCAGGTCAAGGTTGATTGTTATGTACCTTAATTTTCCGTTAGCGCTTTTTAGCGTGCACGTACGCGTGTGTCAACATTTACATATGCATAAAAACCATGAATATTTTTAATCAGTTATAGCTCCTTAGGATGAAAGG